GATTAAAGTCAGAAGACCGACGAAGATGATTCATAAACATGCCCAATTCGTAGGAAATTCATTTGTGCGGAAATTGTCAATGTATTCGACGACAGCCTGAATCGCATCAGACTCCGCCACGCAACACAGCCTCGGCATGATATGATTCGTTTCTCGTACATCTGTAAATTATGACTTTTTAGAAAATTATTTTATGCCATTTTCCCAACGATAAAATATGAATTTGAACATTACCCAACTATTTTTTTAATGAACATTGACACACCCCATAACGATGACGACAAACAACAAACATCAACAAAAGCACATGTGTTACCCGCACAACAATATTCATTCCTTCAGTTTGCCATTCTAATCAGCGACTTAATTTCTGTTCAGGTATACTCTTCAATGCAATAATGACATGCTATGAACTTTTCATCCGGACTACGAATATTCAAAAAATCCCAATATTTCCAATACAGAATAGATGCTCAATCGAAGATTATGAGAGGGTTATCCTCGTAGTCTCCCACACCCGTGTCTATAGAAATGCTTGTGGGGGCTATTCTCCAATGAAATATTTTCGCAAAGATTATTCAGTGGAAGTGGGAACCCACACCACGAACCCGTCACACTTTTGGACGAAATGGAATGAAATATGAATATATTGCGGACATCAACCAATTTTATTTATAGTGGAAAGATCAAAAACAATTCCAAAAGATCTGTTCAATGTGAATCGATGCTTCCAGGCCCCATAGATCATTTCCTGTTATCTCAGTGTCTGTCATCGTTGAATACAAATAACAAATTTCTGAATATTTCTTTGAAAATTTAGTCAATCAATTAGGCAAATTAAAAATAAAAGAAAAAAAAATTATGCAAATTGAGGTTATGACGAATTTCGAAACTTTTATTAGACGTATCTGAAAGAAAAGTTATGAAGTTCTCAGGTTATGGACTATAGTCTCGAAGAGAATTTTATGGAATATTGTAATCAAGAGAAGAAATTTGATAGGAATCATGCTTGGATAATTGGAATCCTTACAACACCTGGAGGATAGGTAGTAGCATTAATATACAGGAATATGGAATGTGAAAAATCGTAATGAGCGGTGCTTTCGGTTACTACGGATAATGCAAAATAAATTTATTAAATAATGATAGCCCAATTAAATTCCCATGCCAATTCAAATTTATATTATTCTCAAATATGACTCATAAGTGGAAAGGCCTCTAAGTAAGATCACTCACAAATGCAAATTATTCTTGAAAATGAAGCCATTATCAATGCAAATATTGATAAATATTGTTGGCAGCCATTAGTTATCCAGATGACCTGAAAAATAAAGTTCCAATAAGTAATGCCCAACGACAGATCTATTTACAGAATTATTGATGTCCTTACTTTTGACATGAGAACGAATTTCCATCTGGTTGTTTTCCAATTGAGCATGGGAACTTCGGATTGTGATTCATTTGGATGAGAAACGTACGTACACTCCACAATCCCTAATATTGATTCCTCAAGTCGTTTTCGTCCATTTAGCGAATCAAGTAGCTATCAAAATTTACATAAATTGATTAGTCAGGAAATTTTTGGGAAATGGATTCTACATTTATGAAAGAACTTACTTGCAAATTCCCAATGGACTTTCCCTGAGATACAATTGTTTTGTTGTTTAACCTCATTTCCTCTGTAACAAGTTGCACACTCTTGGTAGCACGAGGAAAAAAACATCATTGTAGATATTGATTCAAAAACAATTCAAATACTCACCCGTGAGAAACATAATGTAGCAAATATTCAAGATCAAAATATCGGCAACGATTAACAAATGATAATTACTATTCGAGAATAG